TTATTGAGGCGAATTGAATTAACTTCTTCACACTGAGGCCGCAGGGCCTGCCTCCCCTGCTTCTGCAGGGCCGCAGGTGGGGAGGCCCAGGAAAGAGGTCGGTACCCCCTGACTTGGCACGATGTGTAGAGACCGAAGGTCTGGGCCGGATTGGGACAGGATGGGGACTCTGGTGATGGGGTCCCATGCAGCCCCACCCGGCACCTCTGGAGTCCTAAGAGGCTGCAGAGACTCTTTGGGGTGGGGGTCGGGGTAAATAGGGGCGGGGTCTGGGATGCCCAGGCCCCGCCCCGCGGAGCTCGCCCCGCCCCGCCCCCTCCGCGGGGTCCTGCGCGTTAAAAGGCGCGCGGACCCGCCAGCTGCACTTGCGTTGCACCCGGGCAGAGTGCGGCCGCGACGGGGCGGGCGGGCTTTGAGTTCCCAGAGCCGGCCTCCAGTCCTTGGCGTCTGGCGCTCGAACCTCCATCCCGACCTCCACCTGGCCCGGGACCCCGACCCCGACCCGGCCCGGCCCCCGCCCCCGCCCCCTCCGGGTCCATGGACTACTCCTACCTCAATTCGTACGACTCGTGCGTGGCGGCCATGGAGGCGTCCGCCTACGGCGACTTCGGCGCCTGCAGCCAGCCTGGCGGCTTCCAGTACAGCCCCTTGCGGCCTGCCTTCCCCACAGCGGGGCCACCTTGCCCCGCGCTCGGCTCCTCCAACTGCGCGCTTGGCGCCCTACGCGACCACCAGCCCGCGCCCTACTCGGCAGGTGAGCTCAGCCCGACCCAACCCTTTCTCCAAATCCTGAAGAACCCGCAGTCCATGACCTACTCGTCAAGCAAATGCCACTGCCTCCCACAGACTCCCCCTTCCCTGCCCTGGACAGACCCTCCAACGCCCCGTGAGACCCTCAGTAATACCAGGTTCCTCTCGGCAGGGATGAACCCCACCCTAACGCCCCTCTCGGTCCTCTTCCTCGCTGCCAAATCTCTTCGGATCAAAGAAATAGCTCCGTGCCCCTTACCAGGCCCTCCCCTCCCCACCTGCAAAAGCTGACCACCAAACGTCTCCATCCACTGTATCCCTGTAAGAGGCTCCCAGTTCAGTCCGCTCAGATCCCCATCTTTATCACCCCTGCCCCACGGTGTTGCGCGACCCCCAACAAGGACTCCTGAGGCAGCTAGCTGTCCAGATAGGAATCTTCCTAGAGCCATAGCACCATCAGATTCCTCCTGCCCTCTCTTAGACCCATCCTGCTCTGGCCCAGACATTCTGCATCACCAAAATCTATTCCCCTAGCCACAAACSGGGGGGGGGGGTCATTAAGCCACTTTTATTTCCCCTCTCCCCCACCCCAGATTCTCCCAGCTAGAGTCCTACAGAACCCCAGGAGCCCCTCCTGCACTCCCAAGCCCTTTGATCCAATCTCTCTCTGAACCCTCAACCTCACTGAGCTTTCCAGACATTCCTATTTTTTCAGTTAGAGTCCCAGCCTGCCCCACCCAGTCTTATTTTTTTGCCTCCTGGGAAGACCACCAGGGACCCAAATAGAAGACTGGAGCCTGAGGCAGGGGTGAATAAGTACCAGGATTGGGGAAAATAAGAACCAAGGAGATGCCATCAGAGACTAGAACGAGGATGGGGAGATTGGTACAGTGGGCCAGATGAGGATGATCGGGATGATGAGGACAGGAAATGGGCAGATGGGCTCCAGAAAGATGAAGATCTGAGACTGGGACAATGGGGATTAGGCATAGAGAGATGAGAACATAAATGGGGAGATTGGGGATGATTGGAGATGGAGATAAGAACCAGGGGATGGTATCAGGAATTGTGGGAGACAGACCAAAAGGGATTGGAAACAGAGATGACAAAGATGGGGATGGGAATGGGGTGTTGGAGATAAGGATTAGGGAAAATGGGGACCGGGAGAAATGGAACAAAAATGGAGATTGGGGACCCCCAGGAATATATAGAGAACTAAACCAGATTTGGAGTCAGGGATGCAGACATACTGTCTATGGGGCAGTAGAGACTGGGATGGAGTATAGAAAGAGTGAGGGAGACAGGATTTAGGGAATATGGGACACAGAGACTGTGAGGAAGAACAGCAAAGATAGAGGAACTTGAGTGGAAAAAAATAATCACCCTTTTTAATGGGTACAGAAGAGTGTCACAAAAGGGGAAAGTTGAGGGTTTCCCATGGAGGAGGATGAAGATGAGGAAGAAGAGAGGGGGATACCTGGAGAAGAATGGAGACCAAAGATGTGAGTGAGGCAGGGCTAAGGAAATGAACCCTGGAACGAACGGGAGAGATGGGTTTGAGGGATAGAAGAAACCAAATCTGTACACAGAAGAGCGCCAGTATCAGAGTGAAGTAGACCTGGCAGGAGAGTCTCAGTGACAGAGTCAAGGCCCAAGACTGGCTAGTGGGGAGTCCCAGAAAGCAGAGAGCTGCCAGATATCCAGGGCCAGTGTGGACAGAGAAGAACTTGAAGTCAGAGAAGCCGACCAGCTGAGAAACAGATACACTGATACACTGTTGGAAGGGTCAGAGAGGAGTGAAATGGTGTCCAGATCTAACTGACAGGTCGATGGGCCTTGACTGGAGGAAGGAATTCTGGTTTGGTTCCAAGCAGCTCTTGAACCCCAGGTGTCCTTGATCTGAGTTCCTCTTCACCCCCCACCTCCATCGACCAATAGGGACACTTGACCCGAGATTACAAGGATGAAACCGAGGGGACAGACTAGGGCCGGGGGCGGTGGCAGGATTCCTTCTAGGGCAGGACTGAGCTTGGCCTCTCACCGCCCCCCTACACCCTCGTTGCCCCTGCCCTCCTGCACACACCCGCAGTGCCCTACAAGTTCTTCCCGGAGCCGTCCGGCCTGCACGAGAAGCGCAAGCAGCGGCGCATCCGCACCACGTTCACTAGCGCGCAGCTCAAGGAGTTGGAGCGCGTCTTCGCCGAGACCCACTACCCCGACATTTACACGCGCGAGGAGCTGGCGCTCAAGATCGATCTTACTGAGGCTCGTGTGCAGGTGCGTATATGCACGTGTGTGTGCGCGCGTGTTCTTGTGGAGGGAGTGCGGGAGATTAGTATTGAACCCTTAGGGGCCAAGGATAACCGCAGCCTGGAAGCAAGGATCTAGGGCCAGTGACCAGGGCACTGCCTGGGTGTGGTTGGGTATCCAGGGAGGGCAGAGGGGCCAAGACTTGGAGGCTCTTGAGAAACAGGAGCTGTTTAACCCCATGTTGCTTTGCCTTCGTTTTCCCCTCAGTCTCAGCCCTATCTATGGCTGAAGGTTCAGAATTTTTAGAAGCCAGGATGCATGCTGCGAGAGGGTAGAAGGAGAACCCGTGGAGGAGCCGGGGCAGACCAGTCAGCAGTTCCAGGTGTCCTCCCCAGTGTGAAATACTGAGCTTGGGGCTGGTGCAGGGCAGAAGAGAGCCGGGCCAGGGCTTACAAATCCTGTGTGCAGATGTTCCTCTGGCCGGTTTTGACTGGAGGGTCTGAACAAAAGGTTTCCCTAGCGTCCCAACCCGCTTTTCACGGCCCTAGGACGCTCCAGACGGAATGTCCACCTTCCTAAGAGGGAATTGGGAGGCAGGGCTCAGGGTGAGGAGAGTGAAGGCAGAGCCCGGTCCAGGAGACCAAGAATACTGGGAGGCAGCGGAGTCCGCGGGTGAGCATATCCGAAGGGCAAAAACCCAAGGATCTGGAGGATGGGGCAAGTGGAGAAGAGAGTGGAGAAAACGACGGGGGACGGGTGGAGGGTCGAGAGGCCAACGCTAGGAAGGCTGTGGATCTCCCTGACTTGGTAAATAATCCGGTCAGACCTTTCTTGGCCGAGGTCTCTCTTTCCACCAATGTCTCACCTGCGTTTTGCGGTCGGGGGCTGACCTGGTGTGCTCTACGACGTCCAGGCTAACTGGCCCCTGTGCCTACAGGTCTGGTTCCAGAACCGCCGGGCCAAGTTCCGAAAACAGGAGCGAGCGGCCAGCGCCAAGGGCGCTGCAGGCGCAACGGGCGCCAAGAAGGGCGAGGCGCGCTGCTCCTCGGAGGACGACGACTCCAAGGAGTCCACGTGCAGCCCCACGCCCGACAGCACCGCGTCGCTGCCACCACCGCCGGCGCCCAGCTTGGCCAGCCCACGCCTGAGCCCCAGCCCCCTGCCCACTGCGTTGGGCTCCGGGCCGGGGCCGGGGCCGGGACCCCAGCCGCTTAAAGGAGCGTTGTGGGCGGGCGTGGCGGGCGGTGGGGGCGGCGGGCCTGGCGCGGGAGCGGCTGAGCTACTCAAAGCCTGGCAGCCGGCGGAGCCCGGGCCTGGGCCCTTCTCGGGAGTTCTGTCCTCTTTTCACCGGAAACCCGGCCCCGCCCTGAAGACCAATCTCTTCTAGCCGCGGGTCTTTGGAGGCTCCGAGCCTGCCCCCAGCGGCAACCCTTGCCCCTCCGGGACCCAACGGAGACCCTCCCTATCCTGTCCCCACTCCCCTACAGTGTCTGACCCCCTAGATGTGCCCTCCCCAGCTTTAGAAACCAAGTCCGGGCCACTCTCGTTCTCGCCCACTCGCACCAGGCAGTCCAGAGTATTTTTCATTGGGAACCCTTAGAGGAGAGCCGAGGACCCCTTCTAAGCTTGGCTTTCTCTGGAGATCAAATAACGCCTCCTCCTAACAAGAGTCCCTACGGACAAACGCTGCCCACTCTTTGGATCTGCCGGGTCACTCCTAACCTTGGTGACCATGAGTGCCTGCTGCCCTATCCTTAGACCCACCTGCACTGACCCCACCGGTGCAAAGTCTGGTTTAGCTGGGATAATCAGCCCCCTGAAGGGTCCCACAGCCAATTCGCTCCTTAAGCGTCCCCTCTCATCCCTGGCGGGTCCCTGGYGGAGGGTGGACCTATTGGGGGCGGGGGAGGGACGGGGCTGTCTGGGAAAAGGGACTAAGGGGTTTCCTTTTTCCTAATTTTGTTGCTCTTTTTCTTTGAAAAACTTGTAATTTATTGAGGTGATTTTGCTCAATCCAAATAAAACTTAATTTATTGAAGACATCAACACTGGCAACCCTTCTGAGGGTGCAGAGTAAGACTAGGCTGCTTGCAAGAACCCTGACCCCGTTGCGGTTGAAGCCAGCAAGGGGCCCTCTCTCTCTCTTCACGGCCACCACGCATTTCTAGCGCAGGGTGTTACAGACCAGGAGACTTGAGAACTAAGCAAACTAGCACTTTATGGTCGAGGTCCTGCCCCCCGCCACCACCCATAATAATAAAGTGCCCTCCCTCCCCAAACCCACACATAGAAGTTTAAATAAACCCCAGCCCGATCCTCGAGCTCTTCCTTCATTTCCGGACGGATGCCCCTGCAGAAGTTAGGGGGAGGTCCCACCTGTGGGTCAGGCTGGGGGGAGGGCAGCAGAAAACAGTGATGAAAGTTGGGGCCCAGATGTATAYAACTATACCCCATTTGCACCCCTGGGGCTGAGAAGAGGGGTCTAGAAAAACAGGACTGCACACTGCAGGCTACAGACCTCTGCAGCCCTGGGTCTAAAAGGGAGGGGCAGGATGTCCTAATTAGGGCATTCCAAATGACTGGGCAGTGGGGAATGTGGATTCCCCAATAAATAGGCAGAAAGGTATTGCCCCACCCCCTCAGAATTTTCTAGCCAGGGGCTAGCTATTCCAGGCCTTCGTAGCAGGGGAGAGGCGCTGAGTCGCGGCTTTGCCGAGCCTCCGCTGTCACTTGCTGAGCTGCAATGTGTCCAGAAGGAGGCGCTTGTGAGCAGGGTCCTGCACCCCAGCCTCCTCCAGGTCTTCCTCTGTGATGTCACTGTGGGGGCAAGAAAGGCTAGGACCTGGGATAGAGGGTCCTAGAGGGCCCACAGCTCTACCCCCAGGGACAGACACCCACCCTATCCGGCTCTAGCCCCGCCCCCACCTGAGAAACTCCAGGTCGTCCCAGCCATTGTGCACCAGGCCCTCCTCATAGCGCTCTAAGCCGATGGCCCGCAGCCAGGCACCCATACCTGCCTCACTCAGGCCGCCGGCCCGCCCGACCTGCGGGCACGGTGCCTGATGAAATAGGGCAAGTTAAGGGGAGTACTGAGAGTGCACCCCCAGAAAAACCTTCAAGACAGCCACATTCTACCCGGGAAAGGGGGGCAAAATCTGGGGCTGATTTACGTGTCCCCCAACCCTCCAGTACTCAGCTCAGGACAGAGGGGAAACCAGTGCGTGCTGCATAGTGGAGGGAAAAGACACCATAGTGATGGGCAGGCACACTCTTTCAGGTACAGACAACCAGCCCTGGTCCACACACCTCCTCCGCTAGGTCCTCTTGGATGCTCTCCCGGATGCGGGGTGGAGGGAAGCTGAGGGGCCGGCCATAGTCGGAGGGCAGTCCACGGGGTGGCTGCAACTCCAAAGGGCTTGGGAGAAGCGCTGAGCGTCCAGGCCCAGCAGGAGCATAATCCACCTCACTTAGAGTCTTGGCCATCTGCAGTACTGAGCAGGACCGGTCATCCCCACTTGCTACCTCCCCTAGGAAAGTGCTGGCAGATGAGGGGCCTGGGGGTAGTGGGGGCCTTGGATGGGCCTTGGGAGGTGGTGGGCCTCGGCCCTCACCTCCACTGCGTCCCCGGACCCCTGGTACTGACAAAGGATCCAGGTTGGGGGTCAGGAAAATGGCTGAGTCTGGCAGTGGTGGAGGTGGAAAATCTGGAGGGGGCAGAGTACCCCCAGAGTCTTCATCTGATGAACTCCCCTCTCCCACCCGAGGGGGCCGGTGGCGTCCAAGCTGTGGAGCAGGCACTGTGATGGCAACTTTGTTCTTTGTGGTAGGTGGGACAGGAGCCCTGGCAGGTGAGGGTGGCTCCAGGGGCAGCAGCTGGTGTGGGACCCCTTCAAGGACGTAGTAGGCAGGATTATTGAAGCTGTTCTTGGGTGCGGGGGCCACTACCCCTTCCAGCTCAGGAGCCCCCTCTGGCTTCAACCTGGGTTTAGGAGCAGGATAACTTAGTCAGGACCCAGAAACCCAATGGTGCCATGGGGGAACTGGCAAAAGATGACGACATTGAGCATATCACTTACCCTCTACTGCCCTGGGTTTCATCATCTCTAAATTTGGAAGTAAATGAGGTGTTGAAGGCATAACCCTAGACTGCCTTGCTCACTTGTTCAGATTCTTAGATCTTTTATGACTTTGTAACTGTGGAAACTGAACTCAAATGATAACAACAGAGATGTCAGAAGACAAGGCAGTAAAAGGCCTCTGATGAGAATGACCAATGAAACTTTGAAAGAGCTGCTGAAGCCTCTGTAGTTAACCTACTGTGGAATCTCACTCAGGTATTCAGGCTGGTTTTACTCAAGCTGGAGAATAAAAYCAAGGTGACTGAAAATAACTGGAGATGAGAGAAAAAGAACCAAACTGAACCTAGGAGTTTTACGTACCTTCAAGCAATGACTAGGTACCATTAAAAAGCAAGTCTATGTTGTCATGTATAACAAATTAGAACAAATTAAAAAAAAAATTTTTTTAAAGCAAGGCTGGCTGGCTACTGGGGAACAAAACTGACCAAATTATATTGTTATATTGTGTGCATGTATAAATACATAACAATGAATTCCACTACTATGCATAATTATAATATAATATATAATATAATAATAATATATTATAATTATGCATAGTAGTAGAAAAAGGGACTGGAGTTGTGGCTCAGTGGTAGAGTGCTCACCTAGCTCGTACAAGGTGCTGAATTCGATACTCAGCACCACATAAAAACAAATAAATAAAGTTATTGTGTCCAACTACAATATATATATTATATATATATTATATATATATATATATTTTTTTTTAATAGGAAAAAAAGGGCTAAGGTTATAGTTCATGGTAAAGTACTTGCCTAGTATGTGCAAGGTCCTGGGTTCAAACCTTCACATTGCAAAAATAGAAAAGAGGCCCTAAGCAACTTAGTGAGACCCTATCTCAAAATAAAAAATAAGGGCTGGGGGTATGCCTGGGGGTGTGGTTGAGTGGTCAAATGCCCCTGGGTTCAATCCCTAGTACCAGGGGGGGGAAAAAAAGGGCAAGAAAGAAAGCTAGCCTGATTTTCCCTAAGTATGACCCACAGACTACTAGTTATCCAGGCGTTAGAAGTTATTATGTGGGGTTTGTTTTTTGTTTGTTTGTTTGTGCTTATATAGGACTTTGTGCATGCAAGGCAAGCACTCTACCAACTGAGCTATATCCCCTAGAAGTTATTATRTGGAAAAGAAGTATCCTCACCCATTAAGTTTAGGAAACTATATTAAAAAGAATTGGAAAGAGTTTTCCTTCCTGTCCACGTGCTTGTAGCATTTACTAATACTAATGTGCACTGGAAATATCTAAGAAAAAAATCTAGCAAAAAGTATTTCCAAATTCACTTGACCACACACCTTTCTCCAGTGAAGCCTTGTGTAGGATAGGGCCCCATAACATGCACCCTGAGAAATCCCTTGCTGAACCCTGTTCCTTCTCCAAACTGAAGGCTTGAGCTGTGTCTGATTACACAGACAGAACTATTCTAAAAACAATTATTTTCTTTTTTTTTAATATTTTCTTTAGTTGTAGATGAACACAATATCTTATTTTACTTATTTTTATGGGTGCTGAGGATCGAACCCAGAGCCTCACACATGCTAGACAAGTGTTCTACCACTAAGCTACAGCCCCAGCCCCTCTAAAAACAATTTCTATGTCACTTTTAAGGRAAAACTGAGAGGACAGGCTGCCTATGCTCCCTCTGACTCACAGCCRTACCTTCAGGATGCCATACCTTCAGAAGCCATACTTCTGCCCATGGAATGGCAGAGCAACCGAACAGCAGAGAATCCCCAGATTGGCCCAGAGAGCCAATCATAGTAATGGATAGAGTGGGTGGGGAGAGATAACAGATTCCTCCTCTTACCTGGGGTTCAAGGGCTCCTCCCTGGGAGCTGCTCGGGGCGGGGCTGGGGGCCTCCCAGTTGKCGGTGGTTTCTCTGGCTCTTCAAATAACTTGGACAACGGGCTGGAGCCTTCTGTGGAGGCTGGCTTGCGGCTCCCTGACCTGCCAGGGAGAGATGAGTGGGGCCCTCCAGCAGCCCCCAGATACCCCCTCAGGTGACACCCAACATAGTCCTAGCTCACCTGGATTCTTGGCTGCCTCGGGACACAGACGGGCCTTTGCTCTTTGCTCCAGCCTCATCCTTATCAATGCTGATCCACTCTGAGGGTATAGGGAAGGGAGGCTCAGAGGGGATCTGGGACCCTAGATCCCAGAAAAACCATCTAGGTCTGCCAGCCCCTTCCAGCAGGACCACTCCCATGACTGTAGAACCTCAAGCATCCCAGGATTCCATCCACCCTGGGTCCTCCCCTCCTATAGCTGCCCACACCCTTCCCAATGGAACCCCCACCGTAGAGCCGCTCACGGGTGCCCAGGCGTTCCGTGGGCACCCGCACCTTCATGGAGCCACGGATATTGCCTGTCTCCTCGCCGCGATGGGACAGGAAGGTCAGAAACTGCTGGGCTGTGCTGCCAATCATGGATTTGAGTGCAACCACACATTCCCCTGAAGGGCAGACGGGACAGACCAGATTATCAAAACTTCCTAGGGCCTGCCTGACTTCTTATATCCCTCAGCTACCCTGACTCCTCACCATAGGATTCATAGCCATCCATGGACTTGACTGTGAGCAGAAGGTGCTGATCTTGCAGGTACTCAATGTCAGCCAGAATGGGCTTGAGCTGGGGAACAGAAAGGCTGGATATGGAACAAAGTCTCAACCACCCTTGGACCCCTCCCACATGCTGGCCCTGATACAACTCACCCTGCCCTCAGGCTTATTCATGCTCACTCATACCTAGCTCTTAAGGAAAGCTCTCAGATCTGTAATGGGCCTTTCATCACTTAACATCACTGTATTAATTAATTTTCTGCATCCTCAACGGCCTGACATTTAGCAGAGTCTCAAGAACTGTTTATGGAACAAATGAATGAACAATCTACAACTTGGTTCTATAACCCTAGATAAAGCAAATGCTCTTATCCTCTCTTGCCCAGCCCTCCCATGCACACTGCCAGCCCCAGCCTCCCTCCCAGGCAACCTCCCCTAGGGTTCTGCCTCACTCTTCTCTGTGCCCTCGTCCACTGGCCTAGGCCCTGCCTGCAGCCTCACCGTGGGCAGCTGGCGTGAAGACCACTGCACTTTGAGGAAGTTGATGTTGTCACTGCTTTGGGCATCATTCTCAAAGCTCTTCTTGTACTCTGGGGTGGGAGTGGGGAAAACCAACTGAGAACCACCTTCCAGTTTCCCTTCCCCCCAAGCTGAAGGCAGGTCTGGGCAGCTCTGGCCTCCCATCCCTCCTGGCCTACACCCAGCCGTGGGCCCTGTCTCTGACCCTCCAGGCAAGTGGAATAGAACTCAATGAAGAACTTGGTGCGGCTGGCTGTCTTCACAATGGCCTCGATGCTCTCAAACTCAATGTAGGCCTGGTCTGAAGTCTTCGAGAGCCCTAGGGGACAAGGAAGTAAATTGTAGACAGAAGGGCCAAGAGGGTATAAGAGGATCACAGAAAGAATGAGACAGAAAGGCTGAGCCCCGGAACAGGGAATTAGGGGCCTTGGCAGAGCAAGMGGCAAGGCCAATAGGTGCCTTTCAATCCTAACCTACCAACAGATAGACCCCAAAACCCAGACCCTGGACCAAAGCAAAAAGAACCAAAGGATGAAAAACTCCTGTCAAAGGGAGCTAGAGACAAGAATGCCTATGGGCTGGCTTGCCAACAAAATTTGCAGGCTCACATGTGACCCTGCAGATACAGACAAATGTGTATAACTGACCACTCAGGGCTGGCATCTCTCATGAGGACCTGGGCACCCAGACACCCTCACATATCACCCATTCAGAAACACTCCTACACTCACATTTACACACAAACACACACATAGGCTTGTGTACAATCCATCTGCACACATCCCCAGGTCACTACCTACACCCACCCAACACTGCCACATCTACAACCACATTCAGAATAGTCACCTTTCTTGGAGATGAACTGAGAGGTAACTCCAACCTCAAATGTCCCAAACACAGGGGAATGGTCGCTGGTGACAATGTCATCAGTGCAACCTGGGTGGGAGAATAGGAATGGGGACTCAAGGGAAACTTCCCTACTCTCTGTTCCCACCTCCTGAAACTAGGGATGAGTCAGGACAGTGACCACCCAAGACCTCCCATCACCCTGTCTGGGAGGCTCTGACCATAGGAATTGCAGATGATGTGGGTTTCAGGGTAGGACTTCCATAGAATCCGGTCACACCATGAGGGAACGTTGGTCCGGACCTGGGGCAGGGGACAGTAGTGTGGTCAGAGATGACAGCTGGGAGTTTCTCAGCATGGGCTCCACTCAGAGCTGATGAGACCCCCCCCCCATTTCTGTTACACTGGGTCCCACCTTCCTCCGTGGATCCCCACAATACCCAGAAACACCCCCAAAGGCCTCAGGAAGGCCAGGTAAGCTGCAATGATAACTACAGAGGCCCAAGACCCTTGATCTCCCACGTGCTCCTGATTCACTGCAATCTTGGAGGGTCCTCGTGCCATTTTTTTTCACTCACTCCAGTTGGCTTTTGCTTGTGCCAGGCATATGTGTCCCGGGAACCCCGCTCATAGCGGTAAGTGGGTGGAAAAGAGATCTCCTCCTCACCTAAGGAAGCAGGGCACAGATGGGACTCAGGGCCCTGAAAACCCAGGAATGTCCCAAGCCCCCAGGTCCCCAGGCCCACCTACTGGATCCCTACTCACTGAACCGAAGGAAAACCTTGTGCTTCTCCCGCTCCAAGTTGAGCTGGTCTACCCGGAGCAGAGGCTCAAACTCTTTCCTGCTGATGTAGTTCAGTATCTCCTGGGGTGGGGGACAGAGAGGCTGAAGGTATGTCTCTTGAGCAGAGCTGGTGACAGCTCTCGAGCCCCTAGCCTCCCTACAGCCATAGGCAGGGCCCCTGCTGGAACCTGGATATCCATGTCCAGGCGATAGTTGAGGTCCCCAAACCAGAAGAGGTGAGTGAAACGCAGAGAGATGTCAAATGCACTGAGCTGCCGGTCACCCAGCGAGAGCAGTCTCAGGATGTCCAGATAGTTCTGGTTCCGCCTATAGTAAGGAGCCAGGATCAGGTCCCCAGGGTCAGGAATGAGAGATGGGCATAAAGGCAGGAAGACTCTGGGGTCACRGATACCATAGGGATCAATTCCCTGGGGCCAGAGGGAGAAGCTAAGTATAAGGTCAGTTTTAGGACTAGACCAGGAAGTCTTCAGCTGGGATACAGGAGAAGGGGGTCTCTGGGGATAGGGATGTGGGAGAAGGAAAGAGTTTCATGTGACTAGAGGATGTAGGCAAGACTATGGGGAAGCTGTTACATGGGGCCCACCTCCCTCAAGAGTATGGGGAAGGTGCCCTCACCGGGCAGTCTTCTCATTTCCCGAGGTGAGATGGCAATTCACAAAGCCAAATGAGGTGCCATTGAACATGAAGGAGACACCCACGGCTCCCTTGTTCCCTGTGAGGGAAACGGAAGAGGAAGGCCTGATCACCCACAGAGGACTACCAACTCTCCCCTCTATCCCTCAAAGCAGCAATGAGAGGATGCTTCCTACCCCAATCCTCAGGTGCTTTGAGGCAGACAGCCCCTGAACGCACACCCACACCTTCCCTGGGGATCCTTCTCGGGGGCCTGCAGTCTATCTGGATGGCCTGACTCTGTCTGTGTGAGCAGAGCCCCTGGAATCACAAGAGATCCCAAGAGTGCAACAGAAAGGTCCTGTAGGTTCTCAGAAGAATCTATCTTGCAAGAGCCCTGGACTGCTAATCAGAAGACCTGAGCACTATGCCTAGCTCCCCTACTTATTTGCTGAGTGACCTTGGAATTCAACCACTGTGGGTTTGAATTTTATCATCTATGAAATGGGGGAGACTCTGGGCTGGAGAGGAGGCATGAAGCATGAACACAGGGACCCCACCACTTCAGGAACCTGCCTGCCCTGCTCACCCAGGGTGTTGGCGATGCCAGTTTTCACACTGGATGTACTGACATGGCTGATGCGGTTCTCATGCTCTGGCTTGACGAGCACAGCCACCTTGATGTTCCACAGCGACTGCATGGCAATCTAGGTAGAGGGTGTGGAGTCACCCTTATCCTGGGCTGGGACCCTGTCCACATTCTCCCTGCCCTGGCATCTTGTCAGTCATGGGAAAGGAAGACCTCCTACCCTTTCCTGAAGGACCAAAGAGAAATGGGCCTCCCATGACATGAAGGACTCATATGAGACCTCCCAAAGGATATGCCCAAGGCCAGAGGAAAAATCAGAGAGCTGCATTCCCCAGGGTGCCCATGAAGTCAAGCAGGAAAAGTCTGGGGTGGTGTATGAAGACAGGGGACTAACAAGATAACCCCCTCACCGGGCGGTAATCCAAATCTGTAAGCTCCTTGAGGCCCCCACGCAGCAGGTCCAGCCACTCTCGGTCACCCACTGAGTTCTCCTGGGTCCCAAAGACATAGATGTCATGGGGTATGGTCACTGTGACCTCATCTAGGGTCTTCCCCAGACCCTTTGATGTGAACCAAGATGTCACATTTTTTGGAGGTGGCACACTTCCTGAAGATGGAGGGGATGAGGCAGTGGGTGGGAGGGTCAGGCCCCTGCCCTGGGGCCATTCCCCTCTCCCATCCCGGTCCCAGCCTGGGCCTGACCCATGTTCCAGGTGCCTATGAAGACAGAGATCATATCAGGCTCATCTTGCTTGGAGTGCTTATTCTTCATGAGCTGCAGTAGCTGGCAGAAGGCTTCTCGCTTCTGGGGGAACAGTAGTCAGTCAAGGAAAAATAGGCAGCCAGGAACCCCCTTCCCACAARGATACTCCACTAGATGGTAAATACCATGAGAGAAGGTCATTGTCTGGTTGCCCACTGTACATCCACTGCTCAAGAATGTAACAGGTGCTAAGTAAATGTTCACTGAAATTTGAATCATCCCTCAGGCCACCTATTCTTAATAACCTCTCTACCATGTCAGGCCCACCCCTGCCAGGAGGGATGACATGCCCACACCATGTGTTCCCTCTCTTCCTACCCAATGGGAGACACCCATCTGGAGACCCCAGCATCCCCCAGTGTACTGGCCCTGCATGCCACTCACCCGGGCACTGACGAAAATGAAGTCCTTGCGCTGGGTCCGGTCCTTCTCCTTTTCAAACACAACACCCAGCTTGTTCTGGACACGCTGGGACTTAATGAGCTGGCGGACTAGGAGACAGAAGACAGGTCACACAAGCCTGTGCCCTCCAGGCCAAGGGCCTCACCCTACCCATCTCTCCCAGGTCTTGCCCTGGCTCACTTCGGTCATGTGTGAAGGTCGTCCAGTCCTCCTGGGAGTCCCGCTGTCTCCGAAGCAGCACTAGCCGCCCACCTTCCACATCCACGCTCAGTGTAAACTTCTGTGACTTTCCAATCTTGGTCAGGTCACCCAAGGTAACATCCAGCTTCACCTGCAAGACAGGAAATAGAGAGGCTGCTGATAAGACCTTGAGGAAGGCAGCATCTCCTTCACCTTCAACTGCCCCTTGACCCATGAGGCCCTCCACCTGCCATGTACCTCAAAGGCCTGCACAGGTATGGTCTTGGCCTTACGTATAGATGGCTGCAGAGAAACTGGAGGTGCCGTGGAACTCATGTCCTGTAGTGCCTTCAGGGCCTGGAGGGGCCAAGGGCAAGGTGAGGTTGGGGGCATACTCAGGGCTAAGGCAGAGAGGGGTATGGCTAATGCTGGGGTCAGGGCTAAGTTATAGCTTCAAAGTTGAGATCGGGGCTCAGCCAAGGAGAGTGGTCAGCAATTCAAAGGTCAGGGAGTAGAGGGGAATCAGCATACCTTCTTCTGGATGCCTGACAGGAAGTCCTTTAGCACTGACAACTTCAGTACCAGGTTCTCTAGTTCCTGTTCCCCAGTCTGTGATGGGTTCTGCTGGGAGAAAGAATAAGGCTTGTAGATGAAGCCCTTTAGGCTGAAGCCCCCAATCAACTCCAGAACTGAGCCCAGCTCCCAGGGCCTCCCTACAATCTCACCTGCTGCTGTAAAAGGCGAGTCACCATGGGCGAGCTCTGCTGGTCAAACACCTTGGACAGGATCTCCAGACCCGACAGGACCTTGTCCACCTCACTAGGGGAAACACCATTTTAGAATTCCCCACCCCAAGCTAAAGCTCATGGAAGCTGAGGGTGGTGCTTTCTCCTTCAGCTTGAGGACACAAGGGGACAGGTGAGGAAATCAGGAGACAGTGGCTGGTTCACTGTTAAGGGTAAGAGTGTGGTGCAGACGATCAGGTGTGCAGTACCTGTGCAGTCTCCGGCAGGAGGTGGCAAGAGTGCGGGTGAGGTGGGGCAGGTTGCTGGCTCCGCCCCGCACAGCCTCCAGGTCCAGCCCATAGCTGCCCTTCAGATACTCATGGGAAATGGTGCTCAGCCCATTGGGAGCGCTTCAGAGAGAGGTTAAAAGTTGGTAGAGGTCCTGCTGACACTGTTCCAGCTACCCTACACCTTGTCCCTACAGAAGGTGGTACTAGTGGCAGAATAGAACAGGTCAGGGCTGAGATGAGATGGGTGCCCCAGGGGGCTCAGGTGGTCTTCTCACCTCTCATGAAAGAGAAAGAATTTCCTGCAGAGAGGTTGTGTGTGGGGGGTGGGGCATCTCACCTCTCAGCAGCTGGAGTTGTGGGAGTCTCAGGGGCTGGCAGGGGGCTGGTAGGTCCCGCGGGGGCAGAAATGCTGGTAGAGCCAGAGCGCGGGGGCAGTGGGGGCTTTTCATCCTCCCCATCTGTGGGACAGAGGTCAATGGAGGAGCAGTTTGGCCTTTGTCCCTCAGTGGTATATGGCAGGGAGGAAGCCATAGCTGTCAGAGACATTTCATTTCATGGAAATGAAAAGGGGGTAAAGGGAAGTGCAACACAATTACGAGAAAGGAAAGAGAGGGTTGCAAAGCGGAGATGGAAAGAACCAGGTAGAGTCAGGGAGGAGACAAGGAAGGGATGTGCACACTGCACATGAGGCTGTACCTGAGACATCACGGTCATCCGGTGGGTCTGGCTCTCTCTCCCCCTCTACAGGCAGCAGTAGGGCACACACCAGGCCCTGATTGGGCTGGGCATACAAGCCAATGAGCTCGCCCAGGGTCTGGAAGCGGCGCACAGGCACACCCTGTGAAGTCTACAGGCCAAAAAGGATGAGAGATAGGGTCAGCCAGCAGGTCCCCAAGCCACAGGAAGGATCAAGGTCAGGAGTCAGGGTCTGAGCTTCTACCTGCACAGCCAGGAAGTCTTCTCCATCAGGCAGGATGCGGTATGTGTGTACATGCTTCTGATACCTGATGGCAAGGCAAAAATCAGAACCTGAAATCCCCCAGTTGGAGTCTAWTCCCAAAGCATCCCTTACTAGTCCCCCTGCTCCCTAAATGTGGTTTCCTCTAAAACCACTTGCTCAGGCTGCATAGGGTTAATGATGGGGCCAATCTACTTCCACCCTCCTAGTGCTGCCAACAAGAACTGAAATGACCAAGTCCCCCTTCCCCCCCCCCCAAAACCTACATACTCCACACCCACCACAAGGCCTGGGAAGCAACAGGCAACTCTCTTGTGGACTCCACAGCTGTCTAAACACCCCCTCTGGACTGTAGTACCAGTCTGGGCCCCCCGCCAGAGTAAGAGTCCTCAGAAGCCTAGTTAGCCTATGTGTGCAGGGCAATGTGCTAACACACGTGTGAGCCTCTGTCTGTGTTTATGTTGGTGTCTGGCTCTACTGGAGTCTGTGTGTCTAGGACAGTTTCTCTGAGGAAGTACTAGAGCACCACCCTAGAGCTTTTCCCTGTTCCCCAGACAACAGGTAACTGGGATAACCAAAGGGGGCCCCCTATGGGAGACCCAGCCTCTAGGAACCCCAAGGCAAGGAGGGGCAAGAGGGGTGCTGACAGATGGTAGCAGCAGCAGCTGAGCAGGTGACAGCTGAACCAGGCACATACTCACTGGGGGATGGAAAGCTGCCTTTTGCCTCCACACCTCAGAAGGCAACCAGGCCTATGCATGTGCGGGCAGGAAAGGGCTGTTGGCCCCAGAGAGAACCAAATGCCGCAGGGCCATCCCTTTCCCCTAAGTCTGCACCTGTSAGGGGTTCTCCTGGCTGCTTGTGCTGTGTGTTAGTTTGTAGACTGTGGATCCATATTTATAACAATAATAGCAGGTATTATTATTAGCCACACTCTACAGATGAGAAAACTAAGGCTCAAAAAGGAAAAGTAATTTGCCTAAGCAAGTAAAAGGCAGAACTGGGATTTAAAATGAGAACAGAAGGAAGGGCCCATTTCCTGGCCTGCGGGTCAGACTGCCTGTAGCCTTCAGAGTAGGAGTGTGTCTTGATGTGGTATGTATATAGGTAAGCAAGTAYGCATTTGTTTGGGAAGTCTAAGAAACCACCCATTTCTGATCCCTACCCAGTCTCCTGAGATTCAAGGAGCAATCAGTCAGTTGGCAAAGCCAAAGCCCCCACACATAGACAGACCCCCACTCCACCCATTCTTTCCCCTGACAATGGAGCCAGGATTTTCTCCTTACTGGGACAATAATGTTCCTCACCCAAACACAAGCTCCAGCTGTCCTCTCCCACCCAACAGCTGACCCAGCACCTGCCTCCTTCCCTTCCCTAACAAGGGATATGCCTCAGAGGGGGCTGGGAGGCAGGACTGAGGGTATTCATGGGTCTAGGCTGTCCTTTAGTCTCCCTGTACTGAGTCTCAGACTTGAGGCAAAGCAGAGACTATAGGACCCCTCATCAGTCAAGTGCCTAGGTCAGAGTTTCTCGACCTCTGCACTACTGACATTTTGGACCACATAATCCTTAGGAGGCTGTTCTGGACACTGTCACACGTTCATCAGCACGTCTGGCTACTACCTACTAGGTGACTACAGCACCAAGCCTATTGTAACAAACAAACAAAAAAATGTCTCCCTTGGGGCTGGGGATGTGGCTCAAGCGGTAAGGTGCTTGCTTGGTATGCGTCCGGCACTGGGTTCGATCCTCAGCACCACATACAATTAAAGATGTTGTGTCCGCCGAAAACTAAAATAAATAAATAAATAAATATTTTAAAAATTCTCTCTCTCTTTAAAAAAAAAAAGTCTTCCCTGGTCTAAGTCAATGTGTCCTCCCCTGTCCCCACAAAGATGTCAAAAGAACAAAAAGGAAAAGAAGGGACAAAGGGACAAGGGTAGGGGGCTCATAGGGCCAAGGAAGAACATAACTAGATCTAAACTAAACGGTCCTCACAGTTTCCCAGTCATTACTTCTCACTCCAGAGGCCCACAGAAGTCCACTTAGTGTCATACTGTGGGTCAAGGAAAAAACTACAAAACTGAAAGTACAGACTCACCCCACCCTACTATTCACAGAGCTGACAGGTACAGCCACAGGACCAGGCCCACACAGAGAACTGCCAAGTCTAGTTCCACACACAGCACTCATGGCTTAGGGCTAGAGCTGCCAGATAACTGGGGCTCAAGCCCAGAGCCAGGCACACTTACTCATTGATTCATGAAATAATGGCACAGTCTCATAAAGCCTCATCCAGCTGCCTCACCAAGTCTTCTCAACACCAACCACATCATCACCCCCAGCCATACACAGCCCTCCAGAACCCAAGCTGTGCCTCTCTTGGGAGCACTGAAAGGACCCCTAAGGATGTTGCTAGACATCCTCACACACACCCTCATCAGTCCCTCTGTCCCTAAACTGCTGCTTCTGCTTAAACTCAATCCCTTCACAAACAGATCTGCACACAACATGGACCCAAATCCTCACCTCTTCTACTTGGGCATGCCTGCAGGGGTCTGCCAAGGACTGTCTGCATTTTTCCCCATCACAATCGCCCTGGCCTGCAGAACCCCACATACTCTGACCTCAAAACCCCAGAAAGTTCCCTCACACACAGCAGGAAGGAAATGCCCCCTGTATCCTTCCTCAGCCCCAAGAGCCCTAGAATAAAGCCAAGGCCCCCCACTCTGGGGATGGAGGCGGGGCTGGTGTCCCACCACTCAATCACTAACCCCCTCCCCACTCAGGTCACACCGTCCGTATCCCAGATCCCCTCCGTGCCCCACTCACAGGACGCAGAGTGCGAAGGCCCCCGCCACGCTCTCGCTGTCTCGGACCAGGAAGCTGCCATCGCGGCCCGCCCGGGCCAGCAGCTCCTCCGCTGCAGCGCGGCTCAGGTCGCGGTGGTACCAGGCAGGAGCCGGGCTGCCCAGCGCGCCCCCGGACCCCGCGCTCCCCGGGCCGGGTGCCCCACACGCCGAAGCCATAGCCCGCGGAGGGCTCAGCACCGCCCGCGTCTGCCACCCCGCGCCATCCGCCCCGGGAAGCTCAGGGCCGACGCTGGGGCCGCGCCCGGGTCCTGGGCCTGAGRATCCGCGGGCCGGACAGAGCCAGGGATCAGGACTCCGCACTCCGCCGCGCAGGCCGCCAGATTCGCCGCGCAGCCGCCGCCGCCTGCAGCGCCGGCCTCAACTTGAAGAGAAAGAAAAGTTTGTTCAGAGACGGCGGGGGAGGGGCAGGAGCGGAGCAGGGAGTCCGGCGGCCGGCCCCCTCCCCCTCCGCTCGGCCCACTGCCCGGGCCGACCCTGCCCCCAATCTCTTCTTGAAGGGACGGTGCCTCCACAATCCCGCAGAACCTGCACCTCCCAAACCCCACAACGATCCTGCTCTTCCATCCCGAGGATGTTCAGTCCCCAAGTACCCACCGAAGTCCAAGTCTCCCCCACTCTGCTCCCGGACACTAAGGAATCCGGCACCCCCCTGAAGAATTCAGCCCTCTCAATCCTCTCAAGGAGATGACCCTTAACCCCCATAAAAGTGATTTCACCCCAAATCCTTTTCACTGGGCGCCCTGAATCGGGGAGTATCGAGGTTCTCAAAGGAACGATCCAGGACGAGCCTACCACCCCATGCTCCAAGTGAACMAGACACCCAGTTCCCGTTAAAACCAGCCCAAAGTCCACTGTACCTGTCCGTCTACAAATCCCAAGGAGGAAGTCCCTTTCATAGAGATCCGATCCCCACAAACCCCCGGACGAAGACCAGCGTCTTCGAGCCCCCCATGCGCGGCCCTCCTAGCCCAGCAAAGCCCTTCCCCCCTCTCGGCCAAGTTCCCTGGCACCACTCCCGGCACCCGCAGGCCGGCGTCTTGAGAGGACCCRCAGACCGAGACTAGGGGGATCCCCTTTCCATCTTGGACAAAGTTCCCTCAATCCACCGGCTTCCGGCCTCTCCCCAGAGGCCTCTCCGCCGCATGCAGACCCCCACCTCCGGGGCTGCTGGGGTGCCTCCTGGCCCCGGGAAGCAGCCCTGGACTCTAGGCGGCCACTTAAGATGGCCATCCGCCGCCGCCGCMCCCCCCCCCCCCGCGCGCCTTCAGCCCCGCCCGCCGCTCCGCCCCCGCGGCTCTCCCGGGAGCCAGCGGTAGCACCCGCGCCCCGCCTCGCTGGGCCCGCGTCCGGGTCCCGGAGCCGCTCACCCGCCGAGTGACCTCCGGCGAGTCTCAGCGCCTCTCGGAGGCTCSGCTTCCCGCTCTGCAAAGTGGGGCTAATGTTATGAGGGCAGACTCGATGGGACTCTGCTTGTAAAGCACTCGGCACAGGGCCTGGCACCCAGCGGGTGCTCCCGGACTATTTTTATTATTAATTAAGGAGTAACGAAGGTGACAGCTGTGTAAACTGCAAAGCGCGCCGCAGAAGGAATGGGTATTATTAGCACCGCCCCCGCCCCAGCTACTCCTCCAAGTCAACAAACTTGTGCCTCTGAGGGCGACACGCCGAGCCCAGGGCTCCGCAGACCGGGAACCCTAGATCCTCCCACTCGCCCCCGCGCCCCCACGCCCCCTCGCCCCGTCACCCCCGGGCGGAAGGGAGACACGGCCGCCGGAAAGCGGGTGGAGCCCCTACTAGGGTCTGGCCCGCCCCTTCCCAAAAAAAGACCTAGCCGGTGGCGCCGTCTCCCGGGAGTCCTCTTCCTGCCCCGCCCCTCCGTCCCCCCCGCCCCCCACCCCCCTGCTCCTTAAAGGCGCAGGCCTCCAGCCCGGYGTCCTGTGCCGCCAAGTCCTGGAAAGCTGTCAGAGCTTTACTTTAACCTGGGAGAGAACTTTCACTTTGCTAAATTGAACCTGTTGGCAGATCCCGAGTCWGTCCTAAGGCACTTTCTCTAAATCAAATATGCATTGGCTTAACCCCACTAGGACAAAGCCTGGGAAGGACAGGGGTAGCTCTATGGGGACTTTAAGACTAATACAATAACTAAGTGATCCCCGCCACCTACCCACCCCATGTTCAGATCCTACCAGGACTGCAATAACTCATCTTCCGATTTATGCCCAAGTTCCCCATCAGGCATACACTTTTTCATATGAGGGAAGGTGAGTCTGATACGAGGGGGAGAGAGACCTAGACTAGAATTTTGCACACCTGGTTTCTAATCCCAACTGGGACACCCACCTACCTGCAAGCTGTTCTCAGACAGCTACCTGGGGCCTCTTTGGAGACAAATGTGCTAGGTGTAGATAAAGACTTTCTCAAGGAGAACTGGAAAGCGAGAAACCCAGAAATAGGCTCAGGCCCAGCTCCTGAGTGCTGTGCAAAGACAGAACAACCCTCCAAGACCAGCATATCTACCGATGCTGGGAAGGGACAAAGTACCAGAGAAGAGGCCTGGCTCTTGCCTCTGGGAAGATCCTCAGAGTTTCTAATCCTCTTCTAGACACACCACCAGGACCAGTTCCAGTCTTTTGAGTATTTCCTCTTCAGAAATCTCCCAGATTGTCTTTCCCAATCACCACTTCCACCTCTGAGGGTCCTAAACTCCAGCTCTGCTCTTAGTCCACATGTTAGGCAGTGTGAACTTTTCCCCCTGGATTCCCACTTTCAGCTTTCCCATTGCAGAGCTGAGCAAAGTCAGGCAGACAAGCACTGGGGAGGGGGAATGTTTGGGAACCAATATAAATAAGAAGACCTGGACCTGACTCTCATTTAGGGCCATAGGAGCAATAGAATCCCTGAGGACTACTGATTGCACTCACTGGGAAAACATGCTTTCTAGGCAACAACTCCTTTACATTTCACAAGCCCAAGGGAAGGAATATTATCTCCATTTTATTGAGGAAACTAAGGTTTTGAAGCATTTGAATTTTACATAGTGAATGGTAGAGCTGAGATTAAAATACAAGTCTAATTATATTAAAATACAAAAGCTATGGAATCTGTCCCTCACCCACTACTCACCAACTCACAGCTAAAATAATACATCACACACAAATATGTCACTAATTTATTAGAACTGACTGTTGGAAGAACCCAAAGCCCTATCATGGAGGAGGAACTGGGTAGCAGAAGAGTGGGTAATAGATAGAAGCAGGTTTAGGGATCTCTTTTGTGGAAGCTGAGGGGAGCCCAGCCTGGTCATCCAAGCTGGGAGCAGACAGAGGGTGGTATGGGGAAGACTGGACTCAGATGAGGAGCCAGAGTGGCAGTATCAGGGCCAGGCTGAGCAGGTGAAGACCCATTCCATGGGGCATGGCCTCGGCATTCATGGCTGCAGCATAGAACCTAGCCACCTCCTCATTAGGGTTGCCTTGGTCTGGGTCAAACCACATCTGGATGCAGCGGCCACTCCCTCGGCTATAGTTGCTGACCTTGTATGAGTGACTCCAGAGACCTTCACAAAGGGCAGCTGGTGTGGGAAAGTAGCTCTCAAATGTGCGGCAGACAGCCCCAACTGGGCACTTATTAACTCCTGCAGTCATAGACATGGTGAACACAGTCAGCCAGCTCTGGACCCAAATCTCATTTCTGTCATCCCAGAAATCCTTACCCAACCCCCGTTCMTCAACGTCCCCCTTTCCAAACCCTACCTCCATCTCCCCACCCACAGGCCCTCACCTGAGGTCCAGTCCCAGCCCTTGTGCCAGTTACTCTTGCAGGTGAAGGATGTGCGACAGTCCTCCCACCAGTTCTGACAGTCCTCTTTGCATAAAGGCACATTCAGGAACCTCTCTTTGCGCCAGCTCTGGTCCACCTGAGTGGGAAAGGAGGGCTCCTCTTAGCCAGGGATGATGATAGCCACAGACTTGAAGGAACTGAGCCAGAGGGCAGGAAGCCTACTGGAGTAGGGTAAGGGAGAAACCTGTACCTGCTGGATCCAGGGCCCCAGGTTGGGCGAGCACTCATATAGACAGTTGTCCTGGATGAAGTGTCTCTTGCAGGCAGGCTCCATCTTACCACAGTGATCCCAGTTAAAGTTGTACAGGTGGGAGGTGTCCTTGTGCAGCTCCTGGCTCGTTTTGACAGAACAGCAGGCATTCCTCCTCCAGGGAGTGCACTGGGTAGGGTAAACACTGGACTGAGTCCCTCTACCCCACACCCATCCTGCCACCTCCAGTCTCATCCCATTTGGTTCTTGTCCCCTGCCCCAGCAGGTTCTCCAGGAACACTCACTGCAAAGACCTCTCTGTCCTTGACCTTTAGGAACCCCCATCTCAATGGGAAAAGAATTACAATAGCATGATCAAGGTTCTGTGGAAACCCAGGGAACCTTGTCTTGGTGATAATAATTATCATTTATATAAAGTCTTTGTTTTTTAGTTGTCAGTAGGTCTATATTTTATTTATTTATATGTGGTGCTGAGAATTGAACCCGGTGCCTCACACATGCTAGGCCAGCACTTTACCACTGAGCTACAACCCCAGCCCTATGTAAAATCTTTACATTTGTTTTTTGATTTGTTTTTGTTGTTGTTGTTGTTTGTTTTGTTTTTTGGTACCAGGGATTGAACCCAGGGGGTGCTTTACCACTGAGCTACATTCCCAGCCCTTTTTTATTTTTTATTTTGAGACAGGGCATCTCTGAGTTGCTAAGTGCCTCACTAAGTTGTTGAGGCTGGCCTTAAATTTTCAGCATACAAAGTCATTGGGATTACAGGGATATGCCACTGCACCCAGCTCATTTGTTTATTTTTAAAATTAATATTGAGCACCCAGAGTGAGCCAGTCACAGTTGTATTGCTGGGAATACATCAGAAAACAATACAGACAGAAACATATGTTTATGGACCTTATATTTTAGTAGGGGAGACAGACAATAAGTAAGAAATGAAAAGAGAAAAAATGAGATAAAATCAGGATATGATAAATCATATGAGGAAAATTAGAGCAGGGAATGAGAATGTGGAATATGTGATGATTGCTAAAATTTTAAATAGCATGGTGGGGAAAAGCCTCATTGGAAGGTGACATTTTGAGCAAAGAGGCAAAGTCATGCAGTAATGTAGTTAAACTAAATTAATTCTTCTTGATAAGTATTAAGATCTGACTCCAAAGGCTAAGCCAGTGCCAGACACATAATAAGCTCATAAACATATTTGCTGAAAAAAGTGAAAGATCTATTATTATTTCCAAATCTAAACCTGACTTCATCTTACACATGGATACATCATATTTCCACAAGCTTCTAATATAGACTGGGTTTTCCAGGATTGAAAATGCCTTAAAATAGAAAGTAATCCCAACTGTTTTTTCATACTTGAGTAGCTCCAGTGCTCCTAATGACTTAGAAATTATGTCATTGATAGAAACCCTGTTTAGAGCATCTTATAGCATTTATGTAGCCAATGGAATACAAATATATCAATCTTCATATGTAGTTGCCCCATTCATAGAGATTTTGTAAATGAAAGCAAGCACATACTATTTCCTGATGTCTTCTAATGTACCAGAGAACAGATGTGAACAGAGTTAGAAAATGTTTTATTTTTACAGGTGGTTGTCAGCTTACAATGGTTTGACCTTGGATTTTTTTTTTAACTTTTAACTTAATAGTGTGAAAGTGATATGAATTCAGTAGAAAGTGTACTTTGAGGGTTGGGAATATAGTTCAGTGGTACAGTGCATGCCTAGCATTTGTGAGGCCCTGGGTTCTATCTTATTTACAGAAAGTAAATAAGAAAGGAAAGAAACTTGAATTTTTTAATTTCATAGGGTAGTGATATATAGTACAATGTGGGGGCAGTAAGCCACAGCTGCTAGTCATGTGATTGCAAGGGGCAATAGTCCATTCTCAGCAGTGTACTGGGTTGCTAAGCTGTGATGTTCAGTAGGTTAGGCATATTAACTTGTGATGGGCTTATTAGGACATAACCCCATGGTAACTCAAGTAGCACTTCTACTTTCTGCTTGCAATTCCTTTGTATTACAGATAGAGCATTATGTTGATATTTTTAAAATTGATTATAAATTCTATTTCCCATGTAAATTCTATTAGCCTGAGTTTTACTCCAGAAAAGAAGATCTAAAAATATTTGTCATAAAAAGTAGACATTGAGGGCTGGGGA